ATAAAAAACTTAAAAAAAAAAAAAAAAAGGATTTCTCTTGAGGATAGGCCTTGTTAAGATTAGGGAAGAAGGGGCTGGTGCTGTGGCATAGTGGGGAAAGCCGCCTCCTGCTACATGGGCACCAGTTTGAGTCCAGCTCCCTGCTAATGCCCCTGGGAAAGCATGGGAAGATGGCCCAAGTGTTTGGGCACCTGCACCCACTTGGCTGACACAGAAGAAGCTCCTGCTCCTGGCCTTGGACCGGCCCAACTCCAGCTGTCGCTGCTATTTGGGGAGTAAACCGCAGATAGAAGATCTCTGTCTCTCCCTCTCTTTCTCTTTCTCTCTCTGCCTTCCAAACAAATGAATAAATCTTTAAAAAAGAAAAGAACAAAGGAGGAGGCATTCCGCCTAGCAGTTAAGATGCCTGGCTCCATTCAGAGTACCTGGCTTCCATAACTGGCTCTGGCTCTGGCTCCAACTTCCTACTAATGCAGACCCTGGGAGGCAGCTGTGATAGCGCTCTCTCCCTCCCTCCCCTCCCTCCCTCCCTCATCTCTCTCTCTCTCTGTCTCTCTGCATCGCAAATATTTAAGGAGATTGTTTTTAAGAAATGAATATAAGAATAACTGTGCATCAATTACAGATCTAAACCAGTCATATTAAGTAGAACAGATAAAAAAAACTACTAAGAGGGATAATGTATTTAGTTGTTCATTAACAGTCAGGGCTATGCTGATCAAGCCACCATTTCCCATAGTGTCCACCTCACTCCAACAGGTTTCCCTCTTGGTGTTCAGTCAGTCGTCACCGATCAGGGAGAACATATGGTATTTGTCCCTTTGGGACTGGCTTATTTCACTCAGCATGATGTGTTCCAGATTCCTCCATTTTGTTGCAAATGACTGGATTTCGTTGTTTCTTACTGCGGTATAGTATTCTAAAGAGTACATATCCCATAATTTCTTTATCCAGTCTATCGTTGATGGGCATTTAGGTTGGTTCCAGGTCTTAGCTATTGTGAATTGAGCTGCAATAAACATTAGGGTGCAGACCTCTTTTTTGTTTGCCAATTTAAATTCCTTTGGGTAAATTCCAAGGAGTGGGATGGCTGGGTCGAACGGTAGGGTTATCTTCAGGTTTCTGAGGAATCTCCAGACTGACTTCCATAGTGGCTTGACCAGTTTGCATTCCCACCAACAGTGGGTTAGTGTCCCTTTTTCCCCACATCCTCGCCAGTACTGTTGTTGGTAGATTTCTGCATGTGAGCCATTCTAACCGGGGTGAGGTGAAACCTCATTGTGGTTTTGATTTGCATTTCCCTGATTGCTAATGACCTTGAACATTTTTTCATGTGCCTGTTGGCCATTTGGATTTCCTCTTTTGAAAAATGTCTATTGAGGTCCTTGGCCCATCTCTTAAGTGGGTTGTTGGTTTTGTTTTTGTGGAGTTTCTTGATCTCTTTGTAGATTCTGGTTATTAACCCTTTGTCTGTTGCATAGTTTGCAAATATTTTTTCCCATTCTGTCGGTTGTCTTTTCACTCTCCTCACTGTTTCTTTTGCAGTACAGAAACTTCTCAATTTGATGCAATCCCAATAGTTGATTTTGGCTTTGACTGCCTGTGCCTCCCGGGTCTTTTCCAGAAATTCTTTGCCTGTGCCAATATCTTGAAGGGTTTCTCCAATGTTCTCTAGTAACTTGATGGTGTCAGGTCGTAGATTTAGGTCTTTAATCCATGTGGAGTGGATTTTTGTGTAAGGTGTAAGGTAGGGGTCTTGCTTCATGATTCTGCACGTGGAAATCCAATTTTCCCAGCACCATTTATTGAATAGACTGTCCTTGCTCCAGGAATTAGTTTTAGATCCTTGATCAAATATAAGTTGGCTGTAGATGTTTGGGTTGATTTCTGGTGTTTCAATTCTGTTCCATTGGTCTATCCATCTGTTTCTGTACCAGTACCATGCTGTTTTGATTACAACTGCCCTGTAGTATGTCCTGAAATCTGGTATTGTGATGCCTCCGGCTTTGTTTTTGTTGTACAAGATTGCTTTAGCTATTCGAGGTCTCTTGTGCCTCCATATAAATTTCAGCACCATTTTTTCCAGATCTGAGAAGAAGGTCTTCGGTATCTTGATTGGTATTGCATTGAATCTGTAAATTGCTTTTGGGAGAATGGACATTTTGATGATATTGATTCTTCCAATCCATGAGCATGGAAGATTTTTCAATTGATGCACAGTTATTCTTAAGTGTTGAAAATTAACTGAAATGTGATCCCTGTTGAACATGGTGGTGGGAATGGGAGAGGGAAGAGATGTATAATTTGGGACATGCTCAGGCTGACTTGCCCCAAGTGGTGGAGTTGGAAGCATACCAGGGGATTCCAATTCAATCCCATCGAGGTGGCATGTACCAATGCCATCTCACTGTTCCAGGTGATCAGTTTCAGTTCACAGTTGGTCATGGTGAAGGGACTGGGAGTCAAAGGGAGCACATAGACAAGTCTAGTACCTGCTAACGCTAACTGATGGAGTAAATAAAGGGGAGAGTGATCCAACATGGGAAGTGAGAATCTCAGCAGACTCATAGAATGGCAGATGTCCTAAATAGCACTCTGGCCTCAGAATCAGCCCTAAAGGCATTCGGAGCTGGCTGAAAAGCTCATGAGAGTATTTCAGGCATGGAAAGCCAAGACACTCTGGCAAAAGATCTCTGCGAGTGAGATCCCAGTGGAAAGAACAGGCCATCAAAGAAGGAGGTACCTTTCTCTGAAGGGAGGAGAGAACCTCCACTTTGACTATGAGCTTGTCTAAACAAGATAAGAATCGGAGAACTCAGAGGGCTTCCATAGCCTTGGAAACTCATGACTGGAGCATAGGGAGATTACTGATGCCATAGACAGGAGTGTCAATTGGTAAAGTCAACAACAGGAGTCACTGTGCACTTACTCCTCATGTAGGATCTCTATCCTTAATGTGCTGTACATTGAGATTTAATGCTATAACGAGTACTCAAACAATATATTTCACTTTGTGTTTCTATGGGGGTGCAAACTGTTGAAATCCTTACTTAATGCATACTAAACTGATCCTCTGTAAAAAAAAAAAAAAAAAAAAAAAAAAAAAAAAAAGAAATTATCAATTCCCAACTTGACTCTCACTGGGATTAAACATGACAATAGGTCTGCTCTGATTTCATCATCATTTTAAAAAATCATCTATTATTTTTCACTTTATGTTTCTGTGTGGGAGCAAACTGTTGAAATCCATACTTAATGTATACTAAGCTGATCTTCTGTATATTAAGATAATCGAAAATGAATCTTGATGTGAATGGAAGGGGAGAGGGAGTGGGAAAGGGGAGGGTTGTGGGTGGGAGGGACGGTACGGGGGGAAAGCCATTGTAATCCATAAGTCGTACTTTGGAAATTTATATGCATTAAATAAAAGTTTAAAAAAAAAAAAAAGAAATGAATATAATATACTGGCATATTCTTTTTAATTTTATTTTCATTGATTTAAAAGGCAGAGAGAAAGGCTGGTTCATTCCCCAAATGCCCACAGTAGCTAGGACTGGGCCCGGCCGAGGTCAGGAGCTGGGAGCTCCTGTTCTCCCACAAGGGAGGCAGGGATACAGCTGTGGAGCTGCTGCCTCCCAGGGCCTGCGTTTGCAGGAAGCTGGAATCTGGAGGCAGGAGGCAAAGCCAGGAACTCAGATGCAGACCTTGAGCATCTCAAGGATTCCTCTTCCCTCCCTCACCTGCTGGAAGCACGAGGGAAGTTTCCTCTGAGGTTCACCGCTGACAACAGAGGACCGGGTGTAGCTCCGAGAGGTAAAACAGAGCAGCGTGGTGATCCCGCCTACCTGGATCCCCTCAGAGTTGCTAACTATCAGTTGTTCTCACGGAGCCGCCAGCAGCAAATGGTCCGTTACTAAAAGTTCCGGCTTCAGTTCATGTTGTCCGTGTCGGCCTGCCTGTCTGATTTGGGGGGCAGCGATTTTCCTTGTGACCTGATTTCTCTGACAGATGAAGAATTGTTGGTTTTTCAGTTTGTTCCGGCTTTTACTTATTGTAAGGGTGGAGTGGCTACTTCCAAACTCTTCACTTGCCAGATCAGAAACCCGAAGTCTTTGCTGAAATTGAATTTTATAATTTGCTAATGGGTTGTGACCAATGGTTTGAAAATCATTTTTACATTCTGTAAAACTAACTTTAGTCTGAATGGAAAAAAAAAGCAAAAACAAAAACAAAATGCAAGCATTACATGACAAACTATATGATTCTAGTAATAAACTTAAAGTAATAGAAAACACATTGCTTGGAGCCGAGGGACTGGGGGAAGGCCTGGCTGCAAGTGGCGGGGCGGGGGGGCTTTTCTGGGGGAAGGGACCATTGTGTTTTCATTGCAGTGTTGGTTCTGTGATCATATTCCATTGCCAAAATCAGCACACATACATTTAAAACAGTTACATTTTGTTGTCTAAAATGAAGCCTTAATAAAGTTAGGGGAAATTTTGTCAGACTTAATAGAATGCCAATAGATAAGATATTAATATAAGGTTTAATTGCTAAACAACTTTTCAGTGGGTCACTGGCTAAAGGATTTTCAAAGGAAACTCAGCCCACAAGCCAGAGAAAGAAAGTCTTTTCCTGCACAGAGTTAGCATGAGGTAAGATTATCAGGGTGTGAGACCCCTGGGGAGCTTGGCGCTCCGTGCAGTAACACGTGGTCCAGCCACGTGCTCATGGTGATGGTGGCCAAGACTGATGCTGGGTTTGGGCTTAGCCATTTGCTTAGGATTCCAAATAAATATTTCAATTGATACATTTCAGGCAACTCCCTATGTTTGACTGAGACTCATTAGCTGAGTCACAGTGTGAGATGTTTCCTTCCTGAAATACAGAACATTTCCCCCGGATGAAGGTAGCAGTGAAACTTGCTGTGATGTGTACTAGAAGCTTTGAGTTGTTCCTGAATCGACCCTGTTGGAACATGACCGTCATGTTGTATCTTTCAGGAACGGTGGAGTTCATTATGGACTCAAAGCAGAATTTCTACTTCATGGAGATGAACACAAGGCTGCAAGTGGAACATCCTGTCACTGAGATGGTCACAGGAACTGATTTGGTGGAGTGGCAGCTTAGGGTGAGGGTTATTTTTCTATTAGAGATCAGTTTTGAGAATAGGTTACCCTCTGGCCCCCTCAAAGAGGTGTTGTTTTGAACAGAGTTCAATTTTGGTTGTGATGAGGACAGGAAAATGGGAGGTAAAAAAAATGGGGCTACATTTCATGCTGTGACTTTATGGGTACTTTAGGGACTCGGGTCCCTAATCTGTCCCGTGTCTTCACTTTGCCTTGGGCATGGGGCAACCAGCAAGTTGCAGAGCTGTCACTAAGGTGTGTTCTTGACCACATCCTCTCAAGCCTCATGGTCTGCCTAAGACTGTGGCATTCGGAGCCAGGCCATCATTAGATTCTAGAGGCACAACAGATGAAATGAGCTAAAGCACAGCTGGTAATGAAAACCCAAAGAAAGGTCTAGATCAATGGAATGGTCCAGTAATATTCTGATTTACAATGTTTGGCCAGCCCATGAGTAAGCCATTCAGAGTAAATGCCTAGAAACATTTAAACCATTTTGGCAGTGCTAGGACACACCCACAGTATTTGACAAAAATATATGTCCATAGCTATTCTTTTACTAAGGTTAGTTTGGGAAGCATTGATATCAAATGGGGTTCCTTCAAATTTTAACTACAGCGTAGTCTGTATTTGTTCTCTTAATTGGAAACAATAGATTTTTACCATAGCCTTCCTTTTAAAAATATGATTAAAAAAACTGAATAGTAATCAATACTCCTGATTATGTAGGATTTGGGGTTCTTTATGTATCCTGAATGTAAATTGGGTTTTCTGTGCTGTGATGCTGAAGTCATGGTTATCTTGGTAATTTTGTCTTTGCAGAACTTCTGTGGACAATAATAGGATGTTCTTTTTGCTGCTTCCTCGGGGGTGATTGGTGGTTTCAATTGAGCCAAAAGATTCTTCTGGGCCTCTATAGTGTTGGGAGCTAATGAAAACCAGGCACATAAAGCTAATAAGTGTTAGTGAGTGTCAGGAAAAACTACAGTGGAAACTTCTGGAAAGAGTGCTGTGATTCCAGAATTCAAGGAATCAAGGATATTTTTCTGAAGCAGTGAACCAAGAAAGTCTAGACCTTTGACGTCATGGAGGATCAAGGTTTCTAAGGATTAAGGAACAAGAAAACTTTTAGATATTAGGGAACCAGCAGATACTTACTTCTGAAACTCCAATTATAAGAGCTGTTGAGGCTCTTCAGAGAGAGGAGCAGGCTTCCATCATCTGAGGAGGGATTCTAGAACTTACAGGGAAGCTACTGGACCTGGCTGATAGAGTTGAGGGCGCTTGGAAGTTTGGCTGCTTCCAAGCAGAGGTAAAACAAGGGGACTCACTGTGAGTCAGGAGTTCAGACTCTAGGGCCTGCCTCTGAAGTCACGGGATGCTTAGAAAGCGGCTTTAATAGCGTGAGCATTCAGGGCTCAGGCTGCAGATCCAGGGAGTCAACCGTGTTCAGGGGAAGCTGATGAAGGTGTCTAAGGCTAGTGGTTTCCAGAGACTCAACATCTGAGCTAAAGAGAACTCAAGTGACACAGACCCCTATAGCACCCGGAGTCAAGGTTGGCGCCAGTGTTTCCTGGACCCAGGTGGACACCAATCTCAGAGGGGACAGGCAAAAACAAGCTGTGCATCTTGGGATGTGGATACGTGGTCCTCCCTTATATTACATTGAATTCTTTATTAAAACCTTAAAGAGAATTTCATTAGAAGGCATAAGAATGGAATGACAATAGCCAGTACTTAGTGATTACTGTATGCCAGGTACTTTTCTCTGAAGCATGGGGAGCTGAAGAAACTTACTCAGGCCACAGAGCAGGTGCAGAGACAAAATCTGGACACAGGCCTGTGGCTGCAGGTGTGTGGTTTGAAGTCCCACACCACAGAGGCCTTTGCTTTGGTTCCCTTTCCTTGCACTCTCGACTGCCGTGGTTCCTAGCTTTCTTACTGACAGAGTCAAGGAGACGAGTTTGCCTCTGTTTTGTGCTTTCGTGTTTCGTTCAGTGTCATGCTACCTTACTTGTGGTCTCTTTCCTGCATCTGTATTGCTTTCTCAGGTTGTTAGTTCCTCATTTTGGAGTGAAACCTGAAGAGGAGAGTAAAGAGAGAAGCAAATGGCATGTCTTTCAGTAATAGCCTTTTTCAGGTTATATAAGGGGACTTCAAAAAATGTGTGGAAAACTGGAAATTCATGTGTAGGCATCTCATAAACTGCACTTTTCGTGAACATTTTGAAGATCCCTCGTATACGTGCATTTCAACAAATTTTTGTACTGAAAATAAACATTTTAATTCCATTTTTCACAAACTTTTTGAAGTCCCCTTGTACTGGTTGAACACAGAAATTTGTTGTATTAATATATAATAAAAAAGGGAAAATATATAATAGTCAAAATAGTAATAATTATCATAGTGATTAATAATAATGATATTCCTGTTTATACTCTGTTATCACATTTAAGTATAATAAAATTTCTTTTTTTATTTTTATTTTTTATTTTTAAAATGTTTTAATTTTTCTTTTTTTTTAAAGATTTATTTTATTTATTTGAAAAAATAAATAAAGAGAGAGATAGAGACAGAGAGAAAGGTCTTCCATCCGCTGGTTCACTCCCCAGATGGCCTCAACGGCCAGAGCTGCACTGATCCGAAGCCAGGGGCCAGGAGCTTCCTCCAGGTCTCCCACGTGGGTGCAGGGGACGCCATTAGAATGACTTTCTGGAGGTTTGAAATGGAGACAGCAGACAAACTGAAGACTAACTTATAAACACAAGAATCAGTGATTATTCAGCATAATCAAAACCAAGCTTTATGTCTCGTGGATATTATCCGTTTTCATTTAATATATGAACACTTGGAGCTCACATGTGGCATAACGGATTAAGCCACAGCCTGCAACACTGGCATCCCATATCAGAGTGCAAGTGAGTCCCATCTGCTCCCTTCCAATCCAGCTCCCTGCTCATGTGCCTGAGAAAGCAGTAGAAGATAGCTTGAGTTCTTAGGCCTCTTCCACCCATGCAGGAACCCTGGATAGAGTTCCAGGTTCTTGGCTTTGGCCTGGCCTAGCCCTGGCCATTGCAGCCATCTGGGAAGTGAACTAGCAGACAGACCCCCCCACCCCCTTTCTGTCACTGTCTTTCAAATCAATAAAGTAAATCTTTAATATATATATATATATATATATATATGAGCACTCAAATATTAGCACGTATTTCCCAAGTCTTTCTCTTTTTTAAGATTCATTTATTTGAAAGTCAGAGTTACAGAGAAAGAAATGCAGAGAGAGAAAGAAAGAAGAGAAAAGAAAAAAGAGAAAAGAAAAGTAAAGATCCTTCATCTACTGGCTCACTCCCCAAATGGCTACAATGTCTGAAGCTGGGTGGATCTGAAGCCAGGAGCCAGGGGCTCCTTCCAAGTCTCCCACGTGGGTGCAGGGACCCAAGCACTTGGGCCATCTTCCATTGCTTTTCTCAGGTGCATGATCAGAAATTGGACTGGAAGCGGAACAGCTGGAACTCGAATCGGCGCCCATATGGGATGCCAGCACCTCAGGCAGCAGCTTTAGCCACTATGGCATGGGGCTGGTCCCCCAAATCTTTTTTTTTTTTTTTTTTTTTTTTTTTTTTTTTTTTTTTTACAGGCAGAGTTAGGGAGAGAGAGAGACAGAGAGAAAGGTCTTCCTTTTCCGTTGATTCACCCCTCCAAGTGGCTGCTACAGCCGGCGCACTAAGCCGATCCAAAGCCAGGAGCCAGGTGCTTCTCCTGGTCTCCTATGCAGGTGCAGGGGCCCAAGCACTTGGGCCATCCTCCACTGCCCTCCCGGGCCACAGCAGAGAGCTGGACTGGAAGAGGAGCAACCGGGACAGAATCTGGCACCCCGACCGGGACTAGAACCTGGGGTGCTGGTGCCGCAGGCGGAAGATTAGCCTAGTGAGCCGTGGCACCGGCCCCAAATCTTTCTTTAATATGAAACGTTTTAGTTGGTATTTAGGACTATGTTGCCATAGAAAAGTGTGGCTGGTGTTGGTCATCCACATTGTAAAAGTCATCAGCAAGCCGGCACCGCGGCTCAATAGGCTAATCCTCCACCTTGCGGCGCCGGCACACTGGGTTCTAGTCCTGGTCGGGGCACCAGAGTCTTTCCCGGTTGCCCCTCTTCCAAGCCAGATCTCTGCTGTGGCCCAGGAGTGCAGTGGAGGATGGCCCAAGTACTTGGGCCCTGCACCCCATGGGAGACCAGGAGAGGCACCTGGCTCCTGCCTTTGGATCAGCACGGTGCGCTGGCCACAGCGCACCAGCCGTGGCGGCCATTGGAGGGTGAACCAACGGCAAAAGGAAGACCTTTCTCTCTGTCTCTCTCTCTCACTATCCACTCTGCCTGTCAAAAAAAAAAAAAAAAAAAAAAGTCATCCGCAGGTGTGTGATAGCAAGGGGAATGAGATGGCTTTGAAAATTTATGGCCTGCGCTGCAGCTCAATAGGCTAATCCTCCGCCTGTGGCACCCAGCATCCCAGGTTCTAGTCCTGGTCGGGGCACCAGATTCTGTCCCGTTTGCCCCTCTTCCAGGCCAGCTCTCTGCTGTGACCAGGGAGTGCAGTGGAGGATGGCCCAAGTCCTTGGGCCCTGCACCCGCATGGGAGACCAGAAGCACCTGGCTCCTGGCTTCGGATCAGCACCGTGCACTGGCCACAGCACGCTGGCCGCAGCGGCCATTGGGGGGTGAACCATTGGAAAAGGAAGACCTTTCTCTCTCTCTCTCTCACTGTCCACTCTGCCTGTCAAAAAAAAAAAAAAAAGAAAGAAAGAAATTTTATTACATTTACGGGGCCAACACTTCCCAGGCTACATCTGTTTCTTAATTTATTTCTGTTTTGCCCAATACCAAAGTGGGAGAATAAAATACTAGTTTTCTTTGGCTGCATTGTAAAGTCCAGATGTATATTTTACGTGGGAAAAAGGGGGGAACATTGACTTCCCAAGCTTTGTAGTTGCTATGGGACCAATTTTCATCAAAGGCATTGTTCTTTTACTAGATTGCAGCAGGAGAGAAGATTCCCTTGAGCCAGGAAGACATAACCCTGCAGGGCCATGCCTTTGAAGCTAGGATATATGCAGAAGATCCTAACAATAACTTCATGCCGGGGGCCGGGCCCCTAGTACATCTCTCCACCCCTCCAGCAGACAGCTCCACCAGGATTGAAACTGGTGTGCGGCAAGGTAAGGTGACGAAGGTCTCGTCCTTGATGGATTTTTAGTTGAGCTGGATCCTTGAGTCCTACGGAAATGTCAAGCATGTTGTTATTTCATTGAAATTTCCACCCACTGAATGTGCTAAGGCTGCTATGTTCCTTTTATTCATTTTTATTATTCCTATTTATTTATTTGAAAAGCAGAGTAAAAGAGAGAAAAAGTAAGAGAGAGGGAGAGAGAGAGAGACTTTCCATCTGCTGGTTGACTACCCTGAATGACCACAGCAGCCAGGGCTGGGCCAGGCCAAAGCCAGGAGCCTGGAATTACATCTGTGTCTCTCGCTTGGGTGGAAGGGACTTATGTACCTGAACCATCATCTTCTGCCTCCCAGGCACAATAGTGGGAGGCTGGATCAGAGGGCAGAGGTGGGACTCGATCCCAGGCCCTTAATCTGCTGCTCTGCACACCTACTCCAGCCTGTCTTTTTTTTTTTTTTTTTTGACAGCCAGAGTGGACAGCCAGAGTGGACAGTGAGAGAGAGAGAGACAGAGAGAAAGGTCTTCCTTTGCCGTTGGTTCACCCTCCAATGGCTGCCGCAGCCTGCGCACTGCAGCCGGTGCACCACGCTGATTCGATGGCAGGAGCCAGGTGCTTCTCCTGGTCTCCCATGGGGTGCAGGGCCCAAGCACTTGGGCCATCCTCCACTGCACTCCCTGGCCACAGCAGAGAGCTGGCCTGGAAGAGGGGCAACCGGGATAGAATCCAGCACCCCAACTGGGACTAGAACCTGGTGTGCCGGCGCCGCAAGGCGGAGGATTAGCCTAGTGAGCCGCGGCGCCGGTCTTCCAGCCTGTCTTAAAATAAAGGATTTAATTGATTTCTCTTAATCTTTACTTTTTCCTTCTGGAATAGTTATTTTTAACAAATAACTTGTATTCTAAGCAAAGTACTCTAATTTTGAAATGCAACAGTACAAACTTGACCAAGAAATGTTTTGCATGTATTATTTTATTTTAATTTTAGTTGGTCTAGTTTCAGAAGTGATTTGGGGTGATGTCTACTATACTAAAGGTACTCTGCCTCCAAGAGACTGAAAGTTGCACAATTGGGGCCTGCAGCTTGGCATAGTGGGTAGAACTGCTGCCTGCAACCCTGGCATCCCATACAGGCGCCTGTTCGAGACCTGGTTACCCCACTTCCAATCCAGCTCCCTGCTAATGCAGCTGGGAAGACAGCAGAGGATGACCCAAGTGCTTGGGCCCCTGCACCAACATGAGAGACCTGGATGAAGCTCTTGGTTCCTGGCTTTGGCTTGGCCCATTTCCAGCCTTTGTGGCCATTTGGGAAGTGAACCAGCAGATGGAAGATCTCTCTCTCTCTCTCTCTCTGTCTCTCTCTCTCTGTAAACACTGCCTTTCAAATAAATAAATAAATCTTTGGAAAAGAAGTGTTGGAGAATTAAGAGATAAACTTTAACTCTTAATAAGTGCTAGTAAAACAATAATGAAAGAAAGAAATTACAGTGAAAACATAGTGCAGGAGGTGTCACAGCCTAGCATGCGATTAATAGCCATGGTCCTAATCACACTCACTGCTCACTTCCTATGCACAGGCACTGTTGTAGGTGACTTTTATGCATGAGAATTTCCCAAGAGTTGGCATTACTGTCATCCCCCATTTTCCAGATGAGGGAAGCTGGGGCACGGAGGAGTTGAGTGATTTGCCCAAGGTCACCCTTGGAGCCAGAGCTCAGGCCTGAATTGTCTGACTTCAGAGTCCGTGTTCTGAGCCCCCCACTCCCTGCTTCGTCTTAATTTCAGTTGCTGGAGTAATTTGAACAGTGATTAGGTATGGCGTTTCTCAGGGCTTTGCGGTTATGTTAGGCTGATATATTCAGGACAAGGCTTTAGGAGGAAGCCTGGAGTGGATTTAAGTAGGCAGATTTAGCAGCGTAAGGAAGAATGAAGAGAAAGAGAGGTGTGTTTGAAGAACCATAAGAAAATGTGTACTAAGGAAAAGGATTCAGGAAGGGGAGTCATTGGAGATATGGTGGAGACACAGGTTCAAGACAAAGCCTACTATGTCTGAGAGCCAAATCGAGGAATTTGGACTACTTTTTTTTTAAGATTTATTTTATTTATTTGAAAGAGTTACAGAGAGAGATAGAGACAGAGAGAAAGGTCTTCTGTGGTGGAATGAGGAGGTGAAAAGGTCATGCCAAGATGGCCACTGAGGTGAAAAGTTCATGCCAAGATGGCCGCTGACAATAGAAACTGCCTGGCAACAGGCTGTGATTGGATGGCTTCGGAAACCACATGAGAACAGAGGAAACCACATGACAACAGAGCCTGACTGACAGCAGGCCACGATTGTATGGTTTCAGAAACTGCCTGGCAACAAGAGCCTGACTGGCAACAAGCTGTGATTGGATGGCTTTGGAAACTGCCTGGCAACAGGCTGTGATTGGTTAGGGCATAGACCGCCCCTTGACTGGATTGGCTGCCTTGGCTATATAAGCAGCTGTAGCAACTGAAATAAACGAGTCTGTGGGCTGCTTGCCTCCGGCCTGCTTTCACCCGACTCCCCGGGTCTGTGTGGTGACTCAGCACCTCTTGTCCCCACCATGCTCCTCCTCTCAGAACGAATCCTCTCATAGAAGAAATCAACCTCAACAGTATTCCATCTGCTGCTTCATTCCCCAAATGGCTGCAATGGCCAGAGCTGAGCTGATCCAAAGCTGGGAGCTTTTCCAGCTCTCCCATGTGGATGCAGGGGTCCAAGCACTTGGGCCATCTTCTGCTGTTTTCCCAATCGCATTAGCAGGGAGCTGGATCCAAAGTGGAGCAGCCCAGACTTGAACCAGCATCTATATGGAATGCTGGCGTTGCAGGCCTGGGCTTTAACCTGCTGTGCCACAGCACCAGCCCCAATTCGACATTTTTTTAAAGATTTATTTATGGCCGGCGCTGCGGCTCACTAGGCTAATCCTCCGCCTTGCGGCGCCAGCACACCAGGTTCTAGTCCCGGTCAGGGCGCCAGATTCTGTCCCGGTTGCCCCTCTTCCAGGCCAGCTCTCTGCTGTGGCCGGGGAGTGCAGTGAAGGATGGCCCAAGTGCTTGGGCCCTGCACCCCATGGGAGACCAGGATAAGTACCTGGTTCCTGCCATCGGATCAGCGCGGTGTGCCGGCCACAATGCGTCAGCCGCGGTGGCCATTGAAGGGTGAACCAACGGCAAAAAGGAAGACCTTTCTCTCTGTCTCTCTCTCTCACTGTCCACTCTGCCTGTCAAAAATTAAAAAATATATATATTTATTTATTTATTTGAAAGGCAGAGCTAAAGAGAGGCAGAGGCAGAGCAAGAGAGAGGAGATCTTCCATCTGCAGCTTCACTCCCCAAATGGCTACAATGGCCAGAGCTAGACAGATCTAAAGTCAGGAGCCAGGAGCCTCCCCTGGGTCTCCCATGTGGGTACAGAAACCTAAGGACACAGGCCATCTTCTGCTGCTTTCCCAATCCACAGCAGAATTGGATCATAAGTGGAGCAGCCAGGACTCCAATCAGCACCCGCATGGGATGCAGGCACTGCAGGCAGTGGCTTTACCCGCCACGCCACAGCACTGGCCCCAATTCAGACTTTTTAATAACGTGAGAGCTGTGGCTAAGCCGTAGCCTAGGTGGTAAATCTACCTTACCAGCACACAAAGACACTTGCGGTAGAGAAGACAGGTGCTCAGGAGGACCCCAGGTTTTCAACTTGGTACTGGGAGGGAGAACTTTGTCCAAGAAGCTTCCCTCAGCCCTCGCCTTCTGTGTGTGCGGAGCCCTTGTCTTGCACCTGCCATCTGTTATTCCTTGTCTGTTTCCCCAGTAGACCCTAGGACTCTGAAGGGATAGACTGCATATTCCATGCGCAGCTCCTTGCTCAAGCCTAGGCCCAGTAGGTGAACATTACATGTGGATGATGGAGTGGGTGAGTGTCCGGGTGTCAGACTGTATCCCCAGCCCTTGGTTTTGTAGAAGAGGACCTGGGGTTCGGAGAGGATAGAAGATCTGACAATATTAGGAAAAAGGCCCTTCATCGATGTTCTTTGGCTACACCACATCCTTCTCCAACCAGCGAGATGTGCCGTGGTTCGGGCTCTTTTTCTCTTTGACTGTTACCATCCCGGTGACCATAGCAACCATTTGTTTGTCAGCTCTTCCAGGTGTGGCACTTGCACTTTATCCTCACCCCTCCCAATAGCCCTGCAGGGTAGAGGAATTAGTTTCCTTGCTTTACTGATGAGGTAGAGCAATGCCAAGGGCACAAGTGGGTGTCATGGGAGAAGGTAGAAGAAGGTTACATTGCCTTCCAAAAGGAGAAAGGAAGAAAAGGTTCAGAGGGAGACAGGACTGGGCAGGCTAGCCTGGGAGGGCCTAGTAGACACACCGTCATTGGACTTTGGACAAATGTCCAGACCCCGCTGAGCCTCAGTTGCCTTCTGGATAAACCGGTGGTGCAGGGCCTTGTGTGAATTAAGTGTGGAATGTGTGTAAGCCTGTAGCTTGTTTGTCCTGTTGTATGCCTTTCAGTTTTGACTTTGAGAGGTGACCATGGTTTTGTCAATTTCAGGGGACGAAGTGTCAGTGCATTATGACCCCATGATTGCGAAGCTGGTCGTGTGGGCTGCAGATCGCCAGGCGGCCTTGATGAAACTGCGGCACAGCCTCCGTCAGTACAACGTGAGTGACCCGGGCCAGTGACCCTGAAGCTTTTGGTCAGCACCAAAAGCCAGCCTTTGGTCTTGTCAGCATGGCTGTGTCTGCTCCCTTCCACCAGTTGCCCAGAAGTCACAAAGTAATTTCACGTGAGGCCTGTTCTCTAGCATCAGAATAGGGTTTGAGGACTTCTTCATGCCAGGTAGACAGATTGCAGAAGCAAAACCATGAGTGCCAATGTAATATTTCAGAGAAATTCTATTTATTCCTTCTGTAGATAAGGCCAGCTATACAAGTATGACCTGTAGTTTGAGATTTTTTTTTCCCCTAAAAGGAAAATAATTATGTCCAATTTGTTACTTCCTATAGCACATTTATTTCCTGGTGCAGAAAGCCCTATAACCCATGATATTCAAATTTGTTAATATGTTACTAATTTGATCAAAATTCTTACTTCTGGCTCCCATCACATCGGCTTCCTAGCCATTCCTCAGACACACCCATCATGGAGTCCTGTGTTCCTGCCCTCTCTTCCAGAATGTTCTTCCCCCACATGATTGACGGACTCCCCCCTGACTCTCCCCAGCCCTGCTGCCTTCCTGAGTCTTTTCCTGGGCCACCCCATTTAAAATGGGACCCTTTGCTGTTCTCCATCCCTATAGCCAGACTTAGTTTCCTTAATATGTGACATTATACATAGGGGCTTTGAAAAGCTCGTGGAAAATTTGCATTGTCTTTTAATTCCGTTTTCTTTTCTTTTCTTTTTTTTTTAAGACTTATTTATTAATTTGGAAGGCAGAATTACAGAGTGAAGGGTGAGAGAGAGAGAGAGATCTTCCATCTGCTGGCTCACTCCCCAAATGGCTACAATGACCAGGTTAGGCCAGGCCAAAGCCAGGAGCCGGGAACTTCTGAGTCTCCCACATGGACGCACAAGTAATTGGGTCATCTCTGCTGCTTTCCCAGGCGCATTAGCAGAGAGCTGGTTCGGAAGTGGAGCAGCCGGGACTTAAACCAGAGCCCATATGGGATGTGGGCACTGCAGGCGGCAGTTTTACCCACTAGGCCACAGCGCCGGCCCCTTTACTTCCATTTTTCCACAAACCACCTCATGTAAGACATTTGTGTATAGACATGGCTGTTGACCTTTTCCTTCCAATGTGAGCTCTAAGGGGCAAGGACTTGGGTCCAGTTTGTTCCTCATTGTGTCCCCAGTGCTGGGATCAGAGCCAGACACCTAACAGGTGCTCTGTAAATGTGTAGTGAACAAGGGAAGGAATGGATGAATGAAGCCAGGGTGCACATAGCTGGTTTTACCTTTGATTTTGTTTCTAGGACCATCGGCGTTTATTTTGTAACTTTTTCCCATTAGAACGTAAAAGTTGGATTTCAGCGTTGAAAGGAGGCTGCGTGGAGGCCGGTTGGTCCTGCCCGCTGCCTGAGGTAGCAGCCCGCCTGCTCTGCATCTTCCTGTTCTATGGGAGAGTGCAGAGGAGCAAGGCTTCAGGATCCTCTTGCATGTTTCTCAACATTTACCACTTTCCTAACTGGAGTCTGTTAAACACCTCCTCACCGCCTGCTGTACCCATTCCTGCATCCTTTTTCTCATATTAAAATATCATTCTGGGACCAGTGCCATGGCATAGTGGGTAAAGCCGCTGCTTACAGTGCCAACATTCCATGTGCGCATTGGTTCGAGTCCTGGCTGCTCCACTTCCAATCCAATTCTCTCCTATGGCCTGGGAAAGCAGTAGAAGATGGCCCAAGTCCTTGGGCCTCTGCACCCTCATGGGAGACCTAGGAGAAGCTCCCAGCTCCTGGCTTTAGATCAGCATAGCTCTGGCCGTTGCAGCCATCTGGGGCGTGAACCAGTGGATGGAAGACCTCTCTCTGTCTCTGTCTCTCTGTCTCTCTCTCTCTCTCTCTGCCTCTCTGCCTTTCAAATAAATAAATATTTAAAAAAAAATAATTCTAAGTGTTAAGTCCACATCCACAGAAATGGATACGGTCATAGTGAGGTGGGGGTTTTGGGAGTTTTTTGGGGAGTTGCCCTATTGCCACTTGGGACCTTTTTACTGTTCCCCAGTAGAGATACTAAGGACAAAGAGTGGATGTTTTCCTGAGGGGGTGCATTCCCCACTCAGTAGGCACTGGGGCTTCATTCTCTTCTAGATTGTCGGTCTGCATACCAACATCGACTTCCTGCTCAGCCTGTGTGGCCACCCAGAGTTCGAAGCCGGGCACGTGCACACCGACTTCATCCCTCAACACCACAAGGCGCTGCTGCCTGGCTGGAAGGCTGCTGCCAAGGAGCTGTTCTGCCAGGCAGCCCTGGGGCTCGTCCTGCAGGAGAGAGCTGTGACGGATGCCTTCAACCTTCACACGCAAGGTATGGGGTGCTTTCTCTTCCCTCTGCTTGTCAAAGGCATGAATCACCATTGAACATGCCTTTCTTTTTTATTTACTGTTTATTTATCAATTTGAAAGTGAGAGAGAGAGACAGACAGACAGACAGAACGTCCATACCCTGGTTCACTCCCCAGTTGCCCACAACAGCTGGGGCTGGGCCAGGTTGAAACCAGGAACCAGGAGCTCTTATCTAGGTCTCCTACATGGATGGCAGGGACCCAAGTACTTGGGCCATCATCTGCTGCCCCCCAGGATGCATTAGCAGGAAGCTGGATCAGAAGCAGAGGAGCTGGGATTCAACAAGGCACTTTGATGTGGGATGCAGGCGTCCCAAGCAGTGGCTAACCCCCTGCTCCGCAGCGCCCACCCATTTCTCTTATGCCACTCTTGCCTCCCTTTGCTGCTCTCAGTGACTGGCACCATTCTCTGCAGAGCTGTCCCCTAGTAGGAAGGGGACTCTTCACCTCTCATGGGTGCATCCATGATACCACTTAACCATGACGTGCAGCTTAACGAAGCACCCAAACTTGGAGAAATAAGTCTCTTCTCAGCGAAACATGGATTCTTCCCTTATCTCATGCTGATCCCCTGCGAGTTCCTTTGTGTGTCACTCACTCTTCACAGCCTGCTCGGAACCTACAGCAACCTCCTGGGTCCCAGAGACTGAAGACAGAGCCCAGGAGGCTGTCGATTCCCTTGGGCTTCCTGTGATTCCTTGTTCAGTTACTTCTTCCTCTCTGTCTCTGTCCTGTGATTTCACATAGGTCTGCCTGGAGACACACACACTTCATAGTATCATAGAATCTGAACATGGGGACTCATCATGACTGCCCCATCCATGCCTTCCTGCTTCCCCAGCACTCTCAGTTGTTGTCCTCACAACTTGTTTCTAACACTTGGCCCTGGAAAATCACTACTCATTGGGTTAGTTTATTACAGTTTCAGGCAACTCCATTAGGGAGCTCTTCCCTCTAAATTGATCTAAAATCTGAGCTCACTCAATCTTTCTGTATAATATTTACTCTGCTAATTGACATTTGGCACAGATCTTTAAAAAAATCAATTTAGAGCCAGTATTGTGGCATAGTGGGTAAAGGCTCCACCTGTGGTGCTTGCATCCCATGTGGGTGCCAGTTTGAGTCTTAGCTGCTCCACCTCCAATCCAGCTCTCTGCTAATGGCCTTGGAAAGCAGTGGAAGATGGCCCAGGTGCTTGGGCCCCTGCACCCTCATGGGAAACCCAGAAGAAGCTCCTGGCTCCCGGCTTTAGATTGGCTCAGCTCTGGCTGTTGCAGCCATTTGGGGAGTGAACCAGCGATTGGAAAACCTCTTTCTGTCTCTGCCTCTGCCTCTCTGTAACTCTGCCTTTCAAATAAAAGAAAATAAATCTTAAAAATCCATTTATATCATTATTGAATTATTATATTATTCTGGATAATTATAGGATCCTATTTTAAGGATCTTTAATTTCTAGATTCATTTGAGATATTTGTATTGAATGTTTAAAAATTACAACTATGAGGAGGAGCAGGCATTTGGCACAGCAGGTAACTTGCTGCTTAGGATACCCACATCCCATATTGGAGTGCCTGGATTTGGGTTCTGATTCAGCTTCCTGCTAATGCACACCTTGGGAAGCAGCAGGTGATAGCCCAAGTGCGTAGGTCCCTGCTACCCACATGAGAAACCCAGGATGAATTCTAGGCTCCTAGTTCAGCCTGGCACAGCCCCCAGCTGTTGCAGACACTTAGGAAGTAAAATGGCAGAGGAAGATTTCTGTCTCTCTACCTTTCAAATAAATAGAAGCAAATAAATAATTTTTGAAAGCACAGCTCTGAGGGTAGGCATATGTCCTAGTAGTAAGCTGCCAGTTGGGATACTCACATCCTAGATCAGAGTACCTGGGTTCAGATCCCAGCTTAGTTCCTGATTCCAGCTTCTTGTTAACGTGTAGCAGTGATGGCCCGAGTAATTGTTTTCCTGCCACTCACATGGGAGACCTAGACTGGGTTCCAGACTCCCAGCTTTGATCCCTGGCTCTGTGCACTGTGGGCATTTGGTGCCTAAACCAGCTGAGGAAAGCTCTCTGTCTTTCCCTTCTCCCCCTGCCTCTCAAATTTTTTTTAAAGTGTACAGCTGTTTCTTTAGGAGAGTTATGCTCTATTCCTTTATCCTTTTATGTTAAATGAAAACTGCATCTGAGTATGCCCACGTGGTATCCCCGAGCCTGAGCATAACATCTTTAGAATGGAGTGCTCTTGGGGCAGGTGTTTGGCAGAGCAGTTAATACGCCACTCTGGACGCCCACACCTCATATCAGAATAAACTGCTTCAGTTTAGCTATGCTGTAGCTCCTGGATTTTGTCCATGGAGGATGTGTACCCAAATCCCTACTGGGGCTGCACCAATAACATGAAGAGTAAGGGAGGCCAGGTGAAAGGACAGAATGAGGGGTAGAGATGGTGGTGACATCAGAGGGTGTGAACATCATGCAGTCCATGCCATGGGAGGTTGAGAGTTGAAGTCACAACTATTCTGAGTCTTCAAGGGAAGCTGGGGTTTTCCATATGGAATTTCCCAAGATGTAAATGAAAATATCTAATTAAAACACTGGGAACAAAGAAAACACATTTGAGCTGCCAATTTTAGGACCTGTGTTTTATGCTTTCTTTCATAAGGCATCAATTTAGTAAGCTTGACGTTCATAAATTTGTTGTTGAATTTTGAATTCTTTCTAGATCAATTCTCTCCATTTTCATTGTGCAATGGAAGAAGACTGAATATCAATTACACAAGAAATGTGACTCTTAGAGATGGTAAAAACAGTAAGTAGTGTTTTCTTTAAAGGAGAGGTGTGAGCCATAGAAATACAGCATCAAATGAACTTGAAAAAGAAGGATAAGCCTGGTTATGACCAGGCAGTTACTTTTTTTAATGGCCTAACCTAAGCATTGGGAGGAAGCATGCCAAAATCATAGAAATCATCTCTGGGTAGTAGAGTTAATGGTATTCATTTTTCTTCTTTACACTTTTTCTTTTTGTGTGTGTCTTTTGTAAATATTCCAAAAACGTATCATAAAACAAACTAGCAAGACACCTGAAGTGAAATACACCAAAATGTTAGCCAAGTACCATTGGGTGGTGAGATTTAAAGCAATCTCCTCCCCCCATCTCTGTATTTTTCTTTGCTTTTTAATTGTTCTGCAGTGAGAACGCATTCCTTTTGAATAAGAAAAACGATATCCAAAACTGAGTGAGGGAGAGAGCGTCTCTTCTCAGGCAGTGGTCCAGGTGTTTCTGGGGGAAGGGAGTCACTAAAGAGCTATACCTTATTAAATGCCTTATCACATGTCAATTTTTATTTTCACAACACCTTGATGAGGGGAAGTCCCTGTTAAACCCACTGATGGAAGGTGAAGTGAGTTATTCAAGGACAGGTGGTGGCAGAGCCATGATCAGCACCCACTCTTTTTGACATTGATGACCATGCTATTGCCACCATTTTTCCAGTTCAAAGTTGATTTTTTGAAATAGCAAACTAATTTGAGTAGGTTTAAAATAAGACCTGATTTATTTTATTTAGCTCAAGTCAGAGGTAGTTTGTAAGCTGATGGCTGGAGCAGTATACCTGTGGCACCAGAAAGCTGCTTCGGGACAGGCTACACAGCAGCCAGATGGGCACAGTCAGAGCTGAGAGTGCTGGGTCTCCTTGAATGTGGGCTGTTGTTGAACTATGACAGCTCCATTGTAAAAAACATGCCTGTCAGGTAGGGCCAAACCCTCTTTCCATCTGATCACAGCACCCCCTTCCCTGGGCAGAACAGAATCTACCTTACTCCAGCTCTGTGTAGACATCTACTCATTTAGTAACAAATTCTTCATTCACAGTAATTGATTTGGTGTTAGCTGTTTAGTTGTTTTTTTCATTTGAGCTTAGATTACCTTACATGTAGTGTGTGTGTGCACACGGGCATGTGTGTGTGTGTGTGTGTGCATCTAAGCTTTCATACGGTTGGCAAACCTCTCTCACACAGTAGCACCTGCAAATGGTGAACCCGTCATTTTATGCTGACATGTTTGCTCATTTCATCCTAAAAACAGCCTTCCAAATCTGGGTGTATCACACTGTGGACTCCTGATGGGCTGGGGAGTGCAAGAATCACAAGCAGTAAAGCTTGGGTGGCCTCATCTACTGGAATCAGGTGGCAGAGCTACACGTGTGGCTGTGATTCAGATGAGCCTGCTGTGTTCTTGGGCATGGATCTTCCCCAAAGCCCTGCATGGTGTTTCTGATTTATGTAATATTTTAATTGGAATTTAATAAAAAGGATTGGTTTAGAATTAAATACATAATTGAAAAGCCAACATGACTGCTGTTCACTTTTTTGGCAGTATTCCATTAAAATAACTCAGGTGTGATTGTAGCAGCTTTCACAAATATTACAGTGAGTCTCACATCAGCAGTGACCATACCATAGTCGAGTAAGGGAGTACCCCAAACAGGAAGTCTCAGGACACAGAAGCACTTATGAATCCAAAGTAGAACCAACTCTTATTGACTTCAATGAGAAGAGCCAAGTCTTTTAAATATTTAAGGCTTGAAAAATATTCTGATTTTGGTTGTTGCCATGTTTCACAGAGCTTTGCCCAACCCCTAATAATAATAATAGTAATAATAATAATAATAATGGCTGAGATTTATTATTTCATTTATGCCAGATTCTCCATTAAACCTTTTCCAAAGATTACTTCATTTTCATTTTCAGATCAGACCAATGAGAACAGAGTTATTATTGTCAACTTTATTATTAGTATCAGCTTTATAGATTATTAATCTTATTGAGCCAAGGCCAAGGATAAAAGAAATTAGTAATTTTCCAGAGGTCACATGAGAGATAATTGAGGGAGTCAGGACTAGAATTGATACTCCATGGAACATGTGCTTTGCTAACACTGCATCATGTTAAACTTCCGTACCTTATTAAATGTGTAGGAGGAGACTTAAGGTGCCCTTTGGGGGAAACAAGAGATACTTGGATGTGCGAGAAACATGATCAGTGTCCTGTAATAATATGAAAGAAATTATAGTTTCCTGGCAATGTCTTTCCTCTGATTCTACAAGTATTCATGTCAGTCAAATGCTTTTCTCATTTTATAAGTCAAAAGAAAACTGATCTGGTATAACAGGAGGCCTTTTCTCCTAAGGATTAAAGGTTGTTGACAAGAAAGATAAGGGGTGAAGAAGTTTCATGCTTTCAGTACAAAGTTTCTGAGAAGGTGGATATGCTGAGTAATACGGAGAAGAGGGGAGAAAAATACGTCTTTTTGTCTGTTTTTTTCTCTGAAGGGATTTACCACTTAAAAGTATGTGTGTTGGGAAGGTAGAGGGCATCATGGGTAATAATGCAAGCCCTGGAAGTTACAGACTTAAGTAATTGACTTTTATGAACATTTTAATTTTTGTAGTTTCTAAAATCTACAAAAAAAGAAGAGAAAAAAATCACTCTATCATAAACCAGGATGGGGGGGATCATAATAGTGTGTATTGTTATTATTTTAAATTATGTATTTTTAAAACAACAGTTTTTAACATTTTGACATTCACTTCCTGTGTAAATATTTTATAGTATACATACTATTTTCTCTTGAAAACAAGGATGTTAATATCATATAACATGGTATTCATGGAAATGATCATAAAGTGAGGGAAGAAGAATATATTGTAATGTAGAGGGTGTAATTCAGTGAAGATAATATTTATAACTATATACCAAATAATGTGACCTCCTTTCTTTTATGTTCTGATGTATATTAACTTCCCCGTATGAGAGAAAACATGGTATTTATCTTTCTGTGTCTGGCTTATTTCACTGAGCATAATAGTGTTTTCTCTACAAAAATCTAAATGTTTAGTGGGGAGAGCATTCATTTTGCACATGCAGACTGTGCCCAAGGACGGTGAGCGTGAGGTGAACGAGAGACGTGGGGTTTCAGTGGCGTGTCTGGGACCAGTAACGTGGTGGAGGAGGGGCACCTCCGTGGAGGAAAAGCTGGAAGCACATATGGGGACCAGTCCTTGGGCCGTTTGCCCACTGGGTTGGGGAACAACAGGAAGTAAGACTGAGAGGCTGGAGCCTTCAGTACCGACCAGGTGTTTTGGATGCAGTGGGGACATGCGAGGAAGCATCTCCTGGAAGGGTTGAGACAGGAAGCAGGGAGATCCTGGAGGATCTCAGATCAGCCAGACCTGAGCCTGCTGGGCCTGGACCAGGAGGGAGTGTTGGGAATGGCATAGACCAGGTTTTCAAAGGGAAGGCTTTGTCAGGTTTATGGTGACAACACGATGGGAAATCCAAGGAGAAAGCTGAGGCAAGGATGGCAGGTTTCAAAGCTGGGTGAGAGGTAGAGCGGTGCCAGTGACTGGGCTCACGGTTCTGGAGGGAAGGTGATTTGTTGACCCAGCAGGTTCATTTTCTGTTGTGAGTGGAGCGGCCGATCAGAGTTCTGCAGAAGCAAGGTCAGGGCTAGACACAGATTTGAGCTGACAGCATCCAAGTGACGGCTGACAAGACAGAGGTTGATGAAATGACTTTGACTATATGCTGTGCTCTACCCCACACAACTTTTGATTCTCATCTTGCAGGATAGTCTTCAACCAATGCCATGTCATGTAATGGCATGAATCATTTCTTACATTTGCATAGACTGTTACAGTCTATAAAGCACTTTCACATTTACTTAAGCATTGTTACATTCTGATAACCACTGAATGGCTCAGAAAGTCGAGATGCAGAGATTTAGTGACTTGAAGATCATAGAGATGATCAAATGGTACATTTGGGTCTTAAACCAGAATTTCTCTTTACCAATTCATTGCATCTTCTACTTGACCACTGTGACCATTTTTTGTTGAGAGGAAAATGTCTAAAATACCCTTCCACCTTAAATATCTAAAACTCCTTTTAAAAAAAAAAAGTTTAAAATTCACCTTTATTGAAACCTGCCTGACAAATATTTTTCTAAGGAAAAAAACAAGCATTTATTTCCATGGAGTTAAAATATGTGGATGTTCCTTTGAACAGATAGTTATCTTAAAAGTTGAAAGTGAGATTTTATTGAATAAGTGAATGTCTTCTAATTTTTCTTCTATTTTTCCCCCTTTCCATAAAGATGTAGTCATAGCTGTAACATATAACCATGATGGATCATATACCATGCAGGTAAGCCTGAATGGTTTTATTCTACAGTTCAGAGCTAAATCTGATCTCTCTTCTATCCAACAGGGCCTTTTTTACTCTCTGGTTTATCTTAAGCCTTTGACTATTATTATGGCTATGGTTAGAATATCCTGTGCTTTTATTTCAGACCAGTTTGGGGAAATTACCTGCTGTGTATTTTCTGATTGTTTACTCAGTTTTATTGTGGTTCTCTTAAGAATAAAAACTTGGCAAAAAGTGAATAGTCTTGAATCAGACACCTAACAAGTCCCTTAAGTGTGTGCTCTGGGAGCAGACATCTGGCACAGTGGTTCAGATGCCATTTGGGATGTCTTTATCAGAATGGCTGGGTTTGAGTCCTGGCTTCACTTTTGATTGCGCCTCCTGCTAATGCACACCGTGGGAGGATTTGCGACTTCACTCCCCACATGGCTGCAATGGTCAGGGCTGCGCCAGGTCGCAACCAGGAGCCAGAAACTCCATCTAGGTCTTCTACATGGGTTGCAGCAGCCTAGGCCCTTGGGCCATCTTCTGCTGCCTTCCCAGGCACATTAACAGAGAACTGGATTGGAAGCAGAGCAACTGGGATTTCAACCAGCACTCTGATATAGGATGCTGGTGTTTCCAACTTAATCCTATGCACCACAATGCTGGCCTCTTTATTTTTAATTGTAAAATACAATATAAAATGTACCATTTAAACCATTTTAGTAGTTGTCTTTTTGTGATGGGTTTGTTTCACTTAGCATATTGCAAGGTTCTTCCATGTTATAGCTTGTGTCAGCATTGCCTTCCTTTTTAAGGGTAAATAATATTGCATTGTATGTATACACCACATTCTCTTTATCTATTCATCCATCAATGAGCTTTTGTCACCTAGTTTTGACTATTACGGATTTATGATCATGGGTGTACTAGTATCTTTGCAAGACCCAGTTTTCAGTTCTTTTGGGTACATATCCAGAAGTGGAGTTGCTGAATCACACAGTAATTTTAATTTTAATTTTTCGAGAAACCACCCTACTGTTTTCCATAGCAACCACATCATTTTGAATTCCCACCAACAGTGCACAAGGGTTCAAATTTCTCCACTCTTATTATTCTCTGTTGTGTGTGAGTGGTTTTCCCTTGTGATAGCCATTCTAATGGGGGTGAAGTGGTACCTCACTCTGACCAATTTGCATTTCTGCAATGACTAATGATGTCTCTTCATATGCCTTTTGGCCATTTGCATATCTTCTTTGGAGAAATGTCTGTTTAAATTCTTTGCCTATTTTTTTAATCCAGTTGTGCTATTAGTGAATTGTAGGATAAACTGGGAACTTTTTTTTTTTTTACTTTTTTAAAAGATTTATTTATTTACATGAAAGTCAGAGTTACACAGAGAGAGGAGAGGCAGAGAGAAAGAGAGAGAGAGGTCTTCCATCTGCTGGTTTACTCCCCAGTTGGTTGCAACGGCCAGAGCTGCGCTGACCCGAAGCCAGGAGCCAGGAGCTTCTTCCGGGTCTCCCTTGCCGGTACAGGGGCCCAAGGATTTGGGCCACCTAAACTGAGAAAATTTTAAAACTTAAGATTATACAAGTGCCCTTTCCATTAGCCATCAGAGCAATAACACTGTCACATGTTCAGTAGCTTCTGGAAAAGTCCACAGTGTGTGTACTCAAGCTAGAATGAGGGTAAACAAAGCAAATAACATTTTTGCCCTGTTATGAAAATAGTTGATTTCATGTGCCCTCTAAAAGAGGGTTGAGGGATGGGTGTTGAGCAGCTTGGAATGTCCATATCCCATATCAACGTGCCTGGGACTGAGTCCCAACTCCACTTCCAATCCAGCTTCATGCTAATGCAGCTGGGAGGCAGCAGATGGTGTCCAAATACTTGGATCCCTGCTACACACATAGACCTTGATGGAGTTCTGGGATCCTGGCGTTGGTCTGGCCTAGCCTCTACTGTTGTGCACATTTGGGATGTGACCCTGCATATGAAAGATCGATTCTCTCTCCCTGTCTCTCCTTCTCCCCCTTCCTCTCTCACTTACTTTGCTTTTAAATGAATAAATAAATAAAACATTTTTTTAAAAGGGTATGGGGGTCCGCAAGGGATCTACAGGTCACACTTTGAGAACCTCTATTGAAAAATGTATGATTGTCCTCCATAGAAAGAGGTCCATTACCCTGGCATAACAAAATGCTAAAAGGTTAAAAATAATGTGGGAATTCAAACAAATTCCTGCAGGAAGGTACAAATTCAGGGAATAAAATGCATGATTAATATGATCTTGGATATTTTGAATCCTGCAAAATGGATGTATTGGCGACACACAGTAGATCTCCAAACACTTTGAACACTTTCCTCTCTGTAAGGGGCAGGAAAGCCATGGGGAGCCTGCCTACTTTAGTGTGTGAGGGTTCTGACTCACACTGGTGCCTCTGGCTTGGGGACCTTTCATGTCCCTTGGTGACTGGTAAAATAAATTGCTGATTTGTTCCAATTTGCTCGGGGAACCAACAAATTTAGAATGCTTTTGTAAATCTTTAAACAAAAGTGTTCCCAATCTAACCTTTACATCCTAAGAATTTCACAAACATTCAGATGACTGTTTTAGTTGGTTAAAAAGCAGGGTGAAATATCATATATAACTTAAGGTAGAAGAAAACTGTGGATAAATACTGCAATGTGACCTGTTTCACCTTACCCTACATTACATGTTGGAAAAGAATAGCCACAGGACTTCTACACTAACATCATGGGAATTGAAGTGAAAAATACAGAGAGAAGATTTAAATGGATTTCTGTGTGTAAAGGAAATTTTCCCTGGAGTATTACATGGGAGAAAATACACTTTAAAACAGAAAGGTTTCACTTCGTTTTGTCAGCTTCCATGAAGCATTGAGTGTGAAATCTGTTTTCACATGTGGTCTCTTTGTGAAAATTATTAAGGTCTATCTTCAGCTAATTGATCTTTTTGAATGTCACTGATATCCATGAATTGGACCTATGTGTTGGTTAGATAAAAGAAGTACCATCTGTGGGGGCTGCTGTTGCAGTGCAGTGTGTTAAGCCACTACCTGCCACTCCAGCAACCTGTATGGGTGCTGGTTTGAGTCCCGGCTGCTCCACTTCCAACCGAGTGCCCTGCTAATGGCCTGGGAAAGCAATGGAAGATAGCCCAAGTACATGGGCTCCTGCCATCCATGTGGGAGACCCAAATGGAATTCTGGGTTCCTGGCTTGTGGCAATTTGGGGAGTGAACCAGTGGATGGAAGCTCTCTTTCTCTGTCCCTCTCCCTCTCCCTCTCCCATCCTCCTTACCTCCCTCCCTCCCTCTCATTCTCTGTAACTCTGACTTTCAAAAAAAAATAAATAATCTTTGAAAAAAATTCATAAGAAATACCATACAATTATGTAGTTCTGGTTCTTTTTTTATTACTGACTTCGGCATAGGAAAATTAAATTTGATTTTGCACACTCAGAAATGAGTACTAACATTAAAGTTACTGAAATGAATCAATAATTTTTCTTACCTTGATTTGTATTTTTACTTAACATTTTTATTGCTCTTATTTCTAAAATGAACCTTTATCTGTAGCATTGTAGTGACATGGATATGCTATATAACTGATGTATTTCCTTTTAATTATTGCTGTTTTATCTAAAGCATTTTGGTTAGGAATCTGAGGAAAGTTCTCCATGGTTTTTAAAAATAGTTTTGATGTACTACCTGTTGAAATTACCAATAGCAAATAATTGATTCTGATTTTATTAATTCTGGGGGGTCATTATTGATTTTGAAGATATTTTTCTGTTTGTTTTTCAGATTGAAGACCAAACCTTCCAAGTCCTTGGTGATCTTTCTAGTGAGGGAGATTGCACTTACCTGAAGTGTTCTGTTAATGGAGTTACTCATAAAGCCAAGCTCATTATCCTGGAAAACACTATCTACCTATTTTCCATGGTAACGTCTTTTCTTTGTGTGTGTGTGTGTGTTTTTTTTTTTTTTTAATTTTATTTATGTATTTGAAAGGCAGAGTTACAGAGAAAGAGGGAGGGAAGGAGGGAGGTCTTCCATTCACTGGTTCACTCCCCAGATGGCCACAACAGCTGGAGCTGGGTTGATCCAAAGCCAGGAGCTTCTTCCAGGTCTCCCACGTGGGTGCAGGGGCTGAAGCACTTGGACCATCTTCTGCTGCTTTCCCAGGTGCATCAGAGGGAGCTGGATTGGGAGTGGGAAGTGGACTTGAACTGGAGTGCCAGCACTGCAGGCAGTGGTTTTAACCACTATGCCACAGCGCCAGCCCCTCGTCTTTTCTTTATATCTTGGGGTTTAGGAGAAAGGTGCTTGACAGAGGCATTTCCCCAAGTGAGTTCAGAAAGGCACTGCTCCCTTCCACCACTGCCGTGGCTCCTCCTCCATTTCTTTGCCATATTCCTGCCCTCCCTAGCTCTCCGTTCACTCCTGTGGTCACGCAGATTCTCTCTGGTAGACACATAACCATTTTCTTCCTTGGATTCTGAAACAAGTGCCTGCAGCACCCTCGTCAGGGAGCACCTCCTGGCTCAGTGGGCTGTGTTCTCTCGGGGCTTGGTTGCCTGAACACCACCTTCCACCTGGCTCTTGGAGTCCTGTTGATTTTACAGGAGGCGACCGCTGGGACCAGATGTGCCTCTTGACAGAGGGAAGGTGGCTGGGTTCCTGGTGGTCTCTAGGCAGTCAAAGGACAGTCAGGGCTGGCTTCCATGGATTGGGTTAGGAGCCACCCACACAACGAGTCTGTCACACTCTGCCCTGCAGAACGAACTCTCAATTACACTGTGGCCCCCTGGGGGACTGTCACCTTGTGGGACCACCTTGCAGGGCAGAGTGCTTTGTGATGATGTCTTCAGTTTGCTGGCAGTTTTGGAGTCTGGGGTGCTCTCACTTGCCCAGGCATTCCTTTCCATTGTCAGTGACACTGTAGCAGTAGGATGGTGGAGGCAGTGCAAGGTGAGGAGCCTGAGTTCTGGAAGGTAGAGCTGCTGTGATTCAAATCCTGGCCCTGCCGCTTAGCCTGAGTGGCCTTGGGCAGTTAGACACTCTGTGCTTCAAGTTTCCCATCTGTAAATCAGAATGATAACAGTACCTACCTCGTGGACTTGTGTGATGGTTAATGACATAATTAATGAAACATTAAGAACAGTTCCTGGCGTTGACTGCGTAGACCCAGCACGTGATGGTGAGGATGCTGCTAAATGGCTTCTGGACAGTGACTTCATTTTGTTAACCACCTGGCTGGCATGCACACCACTGCTTCATAATGGCAAAGCCAGATTGAGAATAATTGTACTTCCCTCAAAGTCACAGAAGGTAGACTAGAATGCTGATCTTCTGATGGCTAATGTTTAACAAGTAGCGTGACGTAATCATTTCAAGTATATGAGAAAAATATAGTGATAGGAACTGGTTTCCATGTTCTGTTTTTTTTCTGTTTACAGGAGGGGAGTATCAAGTTTGACATTCCAGTACCCAAATACCTGTCTTCGCTGAGCTCCGAAGGGACTCAGGGAGCTACTGTAGCTCCTATGACGGGAACCATTGAGAAGGTAATCATGCGACATTTGTAAAAATGATGTCCAATAAAGCCTAATACATGCCTTTGTTGAACTTTGTCCATTTTAAGAAAGCAAGAGGATTTGTTCTAGATTGCAATTCCATATTATATAATTTTCAGTGAAAAAACTCCTTTACCTAGTTTATGATAAAGACCACTCTTTTTGAAGGTCAGAATTTGCATCAAAGTACAAAGAATCCAGTTTGTTCTCTTACATTTGGAATAGAGCATCCACCAAAGACTGTTTTGTCATGAAACAATAACTTTTTTCCAATATGCATAACTGTATGTGTGTTAAGATGACATTTGAAAAGCTGATGTTGCTGAAGAGCAGTGTGGTCTGGTGTTGAATGCAGTGTGCATCCAGAACTCACATCCATCCTGTCCGTGTCCCTTTGGGCTGCTCTAACAGAAGGCTGTAGACCAAGTCACTCATAAGCAGAAACGTATTACCACTCCGGAGGCTGGGAAAGCAAGCTCCGGACACCAGCAGAGTCACCGTCTAATGAGATCTGGCTTCCTGGTGTCATAAACAGCGGTCTTTTCCCAGTGTTCTCATAAGTTGGTAGGGGCAAGGGATCTCTTTCAGGCCTCTTTCAGAAGGTCACGAATCCTGTTCCTGAGGGCTGCCTCGCCAAGGCCCCACCTCCAATTATCATCCCCTTGGGGGTTAGAATTTCAGGGTGTGAATTTTGGGGGGACACATTCAGACCATGCATAGCACCTGTAGTGTAACCCCAGTGGTGATGGATCAGTAATCTCCTCTTACACCTTGAATGCACTTAAATCACAGAAATGCATTTGTATCTTCTTGATGCAAAAAAAAAGTAGCAGAAGGAAAAAGAGATAGTGATTGTGTAAGTAGTAGAGGAGGAAGGGGAGGAGGAAGCAGACGAAGTGATAATAATTATGTAAGTATGCATGATTTCACCCACTGTTCCCCTCTTGAAGAATTTACCTCCGAGCAGACTTGGATTCGCTTTAGTTCACTCAGTCTTAGTTTCCACAGACCTCTGTATAGTGTGGGCACCTCTGCACGGAGTGCTCATCTTGTGGATAGAGATGCACAGTTTTCCCGTTACTGGCCCCCTAAAGTCAGGTCACTCATTTCATCAGCGTGTGCTAAAGCACCCTGGGAGTGGGGCATTTGCAGGGCTCTCAGGGGTGCTTCCCACTTCTTACGCTCGTCAGTCCTCACTGACCTGAACCTAACTCTCCTGCGAAACGTTTCCAAAAACTCTCTGGTAACCACATTAACCGAAAAGATAGGGAGACCTTATGGGACATGCAAATTCATTTATGGCTGTAAAAAGGAAAACAAATTCTTTTTCAGCTTGCTAATAAGTTTAATTCTCCTACATGAAAATTGTCTACACACATACTACACAGGACTCAAGACTTCAGACAGTAGCCTGGACACCCCTCAAACCAGAAAGCCAGTCGTGACCTCCCTCTGCCCTATCTGCTGAAGACATTTAAGTACACCAGGAACATCAGAAAGTTCATGGGAAAAAATAGAATTAAAAATATGCTTATTTTGATGCAAAAAAACCCTTTGAGAGCCACACTTCTCTTTTTCATTGATACACATATTTTCATTAACTTTTTGAAGATAACAATAGGATCCCTGCTAGTGATGTTCTTGTTTGTACACCCATGAAAACAACAAAAGGATACCAAGATAGATAAATGTATCCACACCTAATTGAAGCAAAACTTGATGACCTGAGGTGGGCGCAGGGCTCTAAGCCGTGCTGCATTGAGCTGGTCGTGGCTGCTTCACACCCGTGCAGACAGCACAGTCACACAGACTCCTGCTTCTGCTCCACTTCCATGCCAGCTCTGTGGACCACCAAGGCGTCTGTGTTTTTAGATAGTAACCCATCCTCTGAATCTCTAGGTGTTTGTGAAAGCCGGGGACAGAGTGAAAGCTGGAGATTCTCTAGTGGTTATGATCGCCATGAAGATGGAGGTGAGCGAAATCACACGTTCAGTTGGCAAGGGAACCTTGGGAACCTCAAGCCTGATGTTCTTTTGCATTCGTTTGTAAGTTAATGCCATTTTAAATATGGAGAGTCATGGATCAATGAAGCGTTAATTTCAGGAAACAAAACCCAGTGTTCCTTCTCATAAATATATTTTCATCTTAATTTTGGGAAAGCACACCTGTCATTTCTGATTATGAAATTGTTGATAGCTTAGAAGCAGGAAGTAGCCCAACTAGATGCTTTCTCTGTTTGTGTTTTCTAAGGCTGAACCCTGAGGATTCCAAGTGTCGTTTTCAAAGTGAAAAGCCTCAATCAAATTGAATTAGCTATGGAGGCTTTTAGGTCTGTGGTCATCAACCCTTGGCCAAAATTCCGGTCACCTGGGAAACTTTTATAAGCTACTTCCGCAGCCAAGGAATCTCCAAGGCTAGGGTCTGGGGACCAGTACTGTTTGAAAGCATCCCAGGTGATATTCTCATGTGAAGCTGGGTTTGGGACCTACTCGCCAGACCAGAGCTTCCTCATCATCTCCTGTCTGGGTTCCCAGGATTGATTCCTGCAACCCTCAAACATACCACAACAGTGTCACCATTTTTTCTGTCAACATCATGTGATGTTTAAACAATAATAATAAAAGGTTGGGCAGGGCAGAAAGACTAGGAATCAGCAAAACAGTTGGCTACATATTTCCCCTTTTCTCTTTCAGTCCTCATTAGTGTTTGCATCATTGTTTATTGTATCTTGTGTCTCTGCAGCACACCATCAAGGCGCCGAAGGATGGCACGATAAAGAGAGTGTTCTACAAAGAAGGCTCGCAGGCCAACAGACATGCTCCTTTGGTCGAGTTTGAGGAGGAGGAATCTGACAAAAGGGAATCAGAATAAACCCCATCAGAGAAAAATGGCCAATTACGTAGTATCTTATTCTCATACTGAAAAGAAAGTGCCTACTGCTTTTTCTTGGGTTCTTATAAAAGGCAGTTTTAACTAAATGATTTAACTACATGATTATGCCAAACCTCTCTTATTTAAGAATTGTGTACTTGAGGCCCAACACTGTGGTGCAGCAGGTAAAGCTGCTGCCTATGGTGCCAGCATTCTTTACGGGCGCCGATTCAAGTCCCGGATGTTCCTCTTTCAGTCCAGCTCCCTGCCAGTGCACCTGGGACAGCAGTGAAGGGTGGCCCAAGTCCCACATGGGAGACCTGGAGAAGGTTCCTGGCTCCAAATTCAGATCAACCCAGGACTGGCCATTGCAGCCATTTGGGGAGTGAGCCAGTGGATGGGGGCCCTCTCTCTGTCTCTCTCTGTATCTCTGCCTTTCAAATAAATAAATGAATCTTAGAAAGGAATCATGCACTGAGTCACAAATATAATTATCTCAGAATATTTCATACTAATAAAATTGAATTGTACTTTTTTTTTTTTACTGGCAATAGATATTGTTTCTGCCTCAGATTTTATAAAATGTAGCATTTTTAGGAAAGGGGATAGCAACTTGATGAAAAAAATTGGAAGAAAAAAGTTATTTAACTAAATGAATTATTTTCCAGTTACAATCATGATGAAAATGGACAGTAACATCCTTCAGACAGATGGCCACAGAGCAAAGCCCAACCAAGATTTTGTTTCATCAAAGAGTAACTTATTGGGCAGTTTAAAGACATGGCTGTTTGTTTCTACTTTTGATTGGAAAATTTCTACCTAGACTGCTGCTACTTTCTAAGCTCATAAAAAAATATGTGTATGAGTTGTATGTATTATATACTAGAATATAGTATTAAGAATTAATTTGGATAAATTTTTAAAATATGCTGTTACAGAAAGCATGGGTAAAAGTAGAATGCCTGACTGCTGAATACTTCTTTATGAAAGCATTTTTTCGTTACCAAAAAGAAAAAAGCCCACTTTGGATTGTAGTTCTTCACCTTTGTGTAGATTCTGTTATTACTGACACTTATACAGCCCTCTGCATTTTCATGTATTCATTGCAGCGTCAAATATTTGCCAAATTGTGCCTTCACTGAATGCATAAAACTATGTTAAATGTGGAGAATACAAAAAAAAATGGATAAAAGATGATCTCTTTAAGATGCCTGTAATTTAATTGGAAAAGGAAAACATAAGCATGTCAGAAGTTCTGTGGGGAAAGGTCTCTGTCTCTTGATTGCTAAGGAAGCAGTCCCATCACCAGTGCAGTGGCAAGGAAGGTGCCAACGGTAGTACTAAAATTGGAAGTGCTGAGTTCTCAAATAAATCTGATGACACAGCCCGGTTAGAATGTCCATCTCCCCAACCAGGCAACGTGAAACTCAATCTCTCCCAAGACGTGGGTGGAGGTGACGACTGCGGTCATGACTGGTGCCGGAAGTAGGTATTTTAGGAGCCGGCATGAGTGAGAGTTCTCTGGGCTGCCATGATCAGGCTAGGTTTTTGCAAAGGAGGAACAACCCAGGGCCAGGAGTGGGGGGGGGGGGGGTGAGGGGGGGGAATGGGACTGGGGAAAGAGGAAGGAGCAGGACTTCACTGTGGAAAATGAACAAGGTGTGTTGTGTGCTGAAGAGCAGGTTCACACAACTGGAACGGGTGGGGCTTTTGAGAGTGGGGGCTGCCATGAGAGAAAAAGCACAGAGTTTAGGTTATGGTCAAATGAAATCCTGGCAGGGAATGTCAGGTTTGGGTTTCATCCTGCAAGTAGTGCTTACGCTGAATTACGTATGGTATTTGGGGAAATGCTACCTGGCTATTGGAGCCCCTTTGAAAAATACTGATGCCATTTTATGATGCTGAACGTTTCCATCCCCTAGAACCTAACACCCCACTTCCACAGATGCACAAATACACGTGTGCACCAGGGATGTCCATGGCCACACGCCACAGAATGGGAAAGCGTTGGAAGCAGTCAGAGTTGGTTAGCCAGGGCAGGTTAAGTATGGTTTGAGTCTAGAGTGGACTACTATTTAGCAATAGACTAGGCAAGTTAATAGCATCAGCATAACTAAATCTTGGAATCCAAATGCTAGGTGAAATAAGCATGGCCCAGGAGATCTGTATGATGCATTACCACCTTTGCATATGTCCAAAGTGGACAGCCTCCTCGATACGTGGTTTATTGCCTGTGATGAAGAATGGAATAAAAAGTTCAAAGTTGCAGATAGGGATTCCCCTGGATATTGTGCGAGGGCTGGGATATGTCAGGTTAATGTTCTAGTTGTTGGCTGGGTGGTTGATCAGTGGTGTTCATCATAGAGCTCTGGCTTTGTAACAAGCAGCACGAAAGCCAGATGGAGGAAGCAAAGGCCAGTGACCGAGCAACCATCTAGGAGGTGGTTCTTGGATATTTAGGCATGAGATAATAAAGGACCAGACAATCTAAACCAGGGCTTTCTAACTATATTTTTAGCAACAAACTCGTTTCCGCTTTCCAAACACAACTTTCTCTGTTTAAAAAAGGGAGAAGCAGCCATGCTGTCATGAAAATTTCAGGTTGCTGTTTGTATCCTTCTGCAGAACAAGATAGAGTTCTGCCTTTCATTGTTCGTGACCATGTCGAGGATGTGTGCATAGAAGGGAGCCCGCCCACTGACCCACACGGGAGAAATCCTTAGATCATCACCAGTTGTAATGATGTGTGAATTCCTTCGCACGTGAGTACATGTGTGTATTCTACAGTGGCTTCCAAAGCATTTACTGTATACCAGGGCCTCTGGAAACAGGTGTAAGATACAGCTCTTTCTCTGTCTACAGGGAGACGGGCTAGAGCTCTGTAGGAACGTGTGGTTATAGCTGACAGCGTTGTTACCCCTGGGCAGTAGGTGCTATGAGGGGCCTAGCAGGTGGAGTAATAAATTCTACCTTGGTTGAGGAAGCCGAGGGGAGAGGCACTGACATTTGAACCAGGCTTGGAGGGGAGCCACTTGCCAGACAGAGAAAGCAGGTGAGAAATGCAGGCTTTGTGGGCAGAGGGACTGGCCTGGCTGATGGACAACAACAAGGCACGAAAGCACAGGAAGTGTGTGGGGCACAGGGTGATCCAGCCTGGACCCGACCGCAAGGAGTGTGGCGGAGAGGGGCAGGGGAAGAGGCTGCCCCGCAGGGAGAGGGCTTTTCCTGTCCCACAGAGAGACTGCTGAGGCAGTGGGGAGCCCCTGGGGTCTCTCCTACAACTTCACTGTGTGACGTCCACCGTCTGGAGTGCAGAGTGCTGAGAGGAGAGGGACTGGAAGCAGTCCAGAAGAGACCCCGAGTGTGGGGCCTGGGACGGGTGCTCGTGGCGGGGAACGTCTTGACTGTTTGGATAATGGCTGAGATCCATTTGCAGGCAGGGATTGGACACCACAGAGTTCCCCAGCTGGAAATAGCAGGTGTGCTGCCTTCTCCATTCTGGAGTCGGCTGATCAGGTCTGTAGTCAGGGAGCTCTCCTCTGCAACCAAGAGAACAGCAGAATGCGAGTGCTCTGCAGGAAGAACCCACAGCACTGAAGTCAGTGTAGATTTGGAGCTAAAATTCTTGCACTTCCAGCCTGGCTTTCCTCCCTATTGGCTGTGTTGCCTTGGGCAAGTCACTTAACCTCTCGGGGCTTTGTAAAATTGAGGTGGCAATCCTACCTTAGAGGGTGGTTTTGGAGATTAAATGAGGAAAGATAGAGGTTGCCTTTAGCACTTTGCCTGGAACATCATTTATATTCAACTGATAGTGATGATTAATTTCAGATTGCACTTCTCGCTAGGGAACAATTGAAAAACTGCTCTAGATTCAGCCTGGCTGGTTCCTCTTGCCAGCAAAAATGCCAGGTCTCAGGGTGGCGAAATACCCTGCCTGGCCATGCATCACCCTGTCTCCCCTCCTGCCTCCCCTCCCCGGCTCTAGTGGGCTACAGTGTCACCCAGGCACCTGTCAACCACAGGCAGCTAGTGTTGCTGCAGCCGGCTGCCAGGCTGGCCTGTCCATACAGCCTGTGCGCCGAGAGGATGGCAGCAAGCTCAGAGACAGCTCGCCCCTTGCATGGAGGCTGGGCCTGGACTTGCTCCCTCTGCCCCCAGTAGAGGCCGTGCACCAGTGTAGCTGGCACTGGAGGGACAGCCTTCACGTGTGGCTTCAGCCTGAGCGTGCCTGGGCCCCACCACTTCACTGGCCAGCAGAACTCTCTTCTTTTCACCCCGTCAGCCTCTCTCCTCGCTCATGCACATGTAGCGTTCCTAATCCCCAATGGTTCCCTCCAGAATTGTCGACGTTGATCGGTGTTGATGCTCTGCCTAGCCGTGGCATTTCTGCTGTTGTCATGAAAATATTACAGGGTTGAGAGTGATGCTTTGCACTCCCATTGCACCTTCATCAGAGGAGCCCAGAAAGCACTCCTAGATATTCACACGAAGCTTCAAAATCCCCAGCGAAAGGAAAATGTGATGGAACCACGAGGTGAGAGGGCCGGAGATGGGCGCGCCTCCAGTGCTTTGATCTGGGTCCAGAGCAGGGCACCTTGGGTCAGCGGCCCCCTTCTGCTGTGGCACACTGTTCTCTGGCAGCTGGCCCCCAGGGTGCTGCAGCCTGGGGTTAGCTGTTCTTCCCACCAGATTCTGAATAAAGGCCCTCCCAGGAGGTCCTACCCACAGCTCTCAAGTCGCGGGCTGGCTGGAAGCAGGCTTGCCTGTCCTCCCAACCCTGCGTGAGGAACCCTGGGGACACCATTCCTTCTGGACTGCAGGGTGTCTGGGCTTTGCGTAGATTAGAGCCTTGCTGTCGGTGATTACCCTGCCACCCTGGCATTTGTCTCCCATTTGCTGGCTCCCTGGGGAATCAGAATGCCTTGGTGCCTCTGACGAGTGCAGTCTCCCACAGAGAGTTCCCAGTACAGTGTACGCTCTCCTTTTAAACCTCAGGCCAGAGCATGGCCGTCAACCCCTCCCTCCCAAGAACGGCTGACTTCATTCTCTGTATGGATCCCCTGTTCATTAGCATTTGCCTAAACCTTTCGTTAAGATTAGAAATAATGCTCACTCTGAAACCAACCCTCCCCCAAAACAAAAAGAACAAACACCAGGTAACTTGGGACTTCTCCCTTTCCCAATGATCCCTTTATCATCCCCGACTATATCATAACAAACATTGTGGGTCTTTTTCTTTTCCTAATACTTAAAGTAGACTGCACATTAATGACAGTTCAGACTGGCATTCCTCTTACACTTCTTCCCCTGCTGGCCAGCTGGCCTCACGGAGTGCTTCTGTCTTTGAGGACCCAGTCAAAGCAGGCATCCTCATCCAGCCTGGCTGATGAGCAGTGCTTGTGTTCAACCTTCCTTCCCGCCTCTCGTAGGCCTCTCCCGTCGCACATCTTAGCCCTGGGGTCACTTCACACGAATATATCAACTCATTATTGAAGATCTATTATATGCAAGACAAAAAGCCGTGGGCATTCACTTCCTTAACCATGTGTTATTAGTCTCTTCCTCATGAAATATTGATGATATATTTTTAAAAATTTGAGTGGCAGAGGGACAGAGAAAGAGAGACACAGAGAGAGAGCCCTTGTATCCATTGGTTCACTCCCCAAATGCCTGCCATGGCCAGGGCTGGGCTGCGGCAGAAGCCAGGAGCTGGAAACTTAATGCAGGTCTCTCGTGTGGATGACAGATCACCGGAGCCATCATTGCTGTCACCCAGGGTCTGCTTTAGCAGGAAGCTGGAGTCGGGAGCCAGAGCGGGGGTGAAATCCAAGTACTCCAGTATGGGATGCTAGCGTCTCAACTGACATCTTCACCACTAAGCCAAACACTTGTCCCTAATTTAATTTTTGACTCGATGGCCCATTCCCACAGTTAAGAAATCTAAAAGCAGATACGAAGAGGTAGACCATGAAAAATCTCCTTCCTCCCCATCCAGTCGACCCCTTTGCCCTAAAGTAACTCACTCTGCCTTGTTCCCTGTGTATCTTTATGTCCTCAAGTGTCTTCAAATGTGTAATCTAATTTCTCCCTCTTACAAAAAAAGTGGCATTCTACCCTCATGCTTCTGTACTTTGGCTTTTCTACTGAATACCTTAGGGATGTAGAGTTTCTTTATTCTATCTCACAGCTGCATGGGCTTGCATCTA